TAGCTTATCATCATATAAAAACGATTTAGCCAAAAACATTGGCAAGTTTCACTCGGATCATTATTGAAAAACGACCACACGTTTTGTGCGAAACAAAATGTGCTAACCCCTGATTATTCAGCAATAATTTTATACACTTACAAAGCTAAAATCCGGGGTAGCTTTCAACTAATTTAAACATCAAATTTACCAAAAAAAAAGTAATATACTCATCCTGGTTTTATTGAATTTTATTCGATAAAGAATAAAATAACTCATTGAAATAACGTGGCGTTTATAGTTTAATTTTAATGTAAGAAACTAACATTTTTAGACTTCTTATAGACAGTCTTATTTTTTCGGCTTCATTTAGCCATGGCTGACTAATCAGTTGTTGGCAGACTTAATATAGATTTTTGTAACTTATTATTTGGACAAAGCCTTATGCGGCCCATAGACTAAACGGCAAGGTTCAAGCATGGCCAACCCTAATTTATAATTCCTGATATGAAGGGCAACTAGTCAACAGTGTCCACTGTTTATGTGACTACTCTTAATGAACAGAATAGTGGAATAAACTGTCATAATTATAATACCCCACTGGTGAACATATCGAGCCTCGAAACTTGAATCTTCTGGTATTCATCCTGACACGTTAACACCTAGATATAGTTAAACCAAAGTTAAGTTACTGTCCATTGTATTAGTAGTTAGAAATAGAGAATATTGTAAGTAATCGCTTCGTTTTTATTATTATTGTTGTTCTTTATTGCAACATTTAATTGTCAATTGTTTATTATATTTGACAGTTTCTCTTAAAACAATAGTAAACCTAGTCAACCTCTATTAGCAGTCATTAAACTATTTCTAAATCACCGGTTAATATTATAAAATACTGGACAATTGATACATCGAACTTAATACAATCTTCGATCCATGTAATTTTTCGATATTCTTGAAACACACACACACAAATAAAAATGTATTAAAACATGCTTAACAACATAATTTGAGAAGCACACGCATACTGCTTGGAATATCCAGAAAAAGTTACGTAAGAAAAATTCCGATTTTTAAATAAGCCTTTACTTACAATATTGTTTGTTAGATTAAAAATAGAAAATTATACCTGAAAAACCTTGAGTACTCTACATTTGTTTATTGTAATGACAAGAAACATTCATGTAATATTTTGTTCTCACTATACTGTCATAAAAAAAGACAAGGAACTTCAAGTGTTATATAAAACACTCGTTTAAAAATAAATGTTATTTTCGTTATACCTACACACTACTATACCACAATCAGTCAGCAGAGTGACAGTAACATTGGTATCACTATGATCTTTATTATTTGCAGAATGTTTTTTTTTTTTTTTTTTTTTTTACGAATGTCCAGAAGCTTATTCAAACCTTCGGTGTTAAGCGATATTCTTAATAACCGTCTAACACAAGACACCGAGAGAAATACATATTTAAAACTAGTGCTTCCTTCGTATTTGAAAACTCAAAAGTTTATCTGTTTAAACTGAAAAGCCTTTTAATTCGCTACATAGTCAGTTTTTATCACGTTCTTAATATCATTTTTGAACTAGCATTTTTTAAATCAGCCTTATGTAAATTAAACTTTTAAGATTTTTTTAATAAAATACGAAAAAAATTGGAGACAAAAATGATTAAGAATAAAAGTATTGCGTGGATTATATATATATATAAAGAGTATCTTCAGCAAAGATAAAACTGAAGACTGCTCGAAGAGTGCTGGTATGGGAAACGTGTTTGGTGTAGGTTCTGATGCTACTTCACAATTGAATGTTTATCGGAATCATTCTATGTCTTTTATTAATAACTACGCATGTGTAAAGAAGTTTATCTTAAGTAATCATACAAATAATAAACCAAATAATTGTTGTATATGTACATAAAAAATATACATTTTCATCTCAGCATAAAAATACTAGTCACAATCAATAATCAAATTAATTTTCTGTACACATTTTCTGATCACACCTTCCTCAAAGATTCGCGAAGTTCTCTTGTAAAAATTATTCCAAATGCAATCACGTTTCTATTGTGTCTATATTGCATATTGCAAAAGCATGGCATTATAATTTTAAGAAGACAAACCTAGTTGAAATTAAACGAGAAAACAACAGTTATAATGCAACGTAATTAAGGAGAAGAAACAAGTCTTTCATGATGTAAGGCAACGTAATTAGGGAGAAGAAACAAGCCTTTCATGATGTAAGGCAACGTAATTAGGGAGAAGAAACAAGCCTTTCATGATGTAAGGCAACGTAATTAAACATTAAAATTTAATGTTAAACATTGAAATTTAAACATTCAGTTATGTGTATGATGTTTCAAAAGTAAGTTCTCCCAGCAAGACCTACAAGTCTTAATACACTATTTCTAAGGTTCCTACTGTTTGTGAACACAACTTTTCGTTTTGTTTTAGTACGTTTAGACATTTGTTTATAGCTTTCGAATGGTGTCTAAACTCAGAAAATTTTACCGTAGTTACTCCGGTTTATTCTGCAAGTATTAACATAAATTGGTGTATAATACACAGCAAAGGATAAAAAACGAGCAGCCAGAATATTAAAATGTGAACAACAAAGAGCGCTGAAACAACATAAAACTGGAGAGTGTGAAATAATAACTCATTTCTTATTCCGAAGCACGCACTATTTCTCACCACGACTAGTTTCTATGTAAACAATGCGTTCTCACTTTTTGTGCAACTCATTGTACGTGTTCTTGCACGAATGAAAACCTAGCACACGACTGCAATGTCTAGAGGCACTTTTTTTTGTCGGTAGACTTGTAACCCCTTGTATAAAACACACAGATAACACACACACACACATATATATATATATATATATATATATAGAAATCACCGTGACATTTAACACAGAATAAACCCCGAGATCTACATATGCTTGCTTTCAATAACAGGCGTTTTTAATTCTTCATTAAACGCTTTGTTCTCAACACCATTAGAGGGAGAAACACGGGTATGCGAGTCAAGAATATTCATTTCGGACGAGGAGGAGATAGGTCCTTTGTCACCTGGGGCTGAGTTATTTGTTTGACAACAAGCTCTGCAGCAACTACACACGGTCAACATTCGGCTTATGAGTCGGTCGATCGGGTCTAGGGAATGCAGACATTCAGGTAACCAGTTCCAGTCGCGTAATACCTTAGGCAGCAGGGTCGGCTTCTTCCTCTGAATAATGTTAATGACGACAACGAGAAAACCGATTATAAGGATCGGAATACCAACCGCCAACAAAACTGTAGTGCCAGCTGCAGACAACCCGAACACGATCCCGGGGAGAATCAAAAACATCATAAACAAATAAAACATTGAAAACCACCGGTATTTCGCGGTGGTGTTGCCCAGGATCTTAGCTAATCTGATAGGGAATCGAAGGAAAGGCAATGGGAAAAACAGTATGATGCCGCTGATATTAAAGAATAAGTGACACAGGGCAAGTTGTAGTGTTTCCGCAATATGTTTTTTGTCCGCAGCTAGAGCCGCTAGCATGCCAGTAGCTGTTGTTCCAATGTTAGACCCAAGAGTTAAAGGATACATCCTTTCCAGCGAGATAACTCCAAGGCCTGCCAGAGGAGTCAAGGCTGATGTAAAAATAGACGAGCTCTGAACCAATACAGTTATAGCTGCGCCGATTAGGATGGCCAAGTATCCCATTAATTCCGAGAAAGGAAAACGTGGGTTTGCGTTGACTGTCTTTTTGATGATAACGGCTATCCGCCCCTTCAACATCGTATGAAGTAGTTTAACTAACATCATGAGACAAGCGCACAGAATGATGAGAGACAATACCAACATCAGGACACCTATCAGTGAATCACTCCAGTCCAACCCTTGCAACAGGAACTCGCCTGAAAAAAGACAAAAACAAAAAACCAATCACACAAATGAAATAATGAACTAAGGTATAGAAAAAAATATAACCACATATATATTTCAACATTTCAATTAAAAATTACATTGACCGTAAAGTGTCAATTACCAAACAACTATCACTTTAAACTTTCACAGAGTTTTGAATAAATTTAATATATATAACTAAAATCACTCAGAGGCAACGTTTGATTTTATTCAAAGACTTAACATAAAAGTGAAATTTGACATTGTACACTGTTATAAAGACCTTTTTGTAACATATTTGATTTCCCCCTTATGAATAGTAAGGTTTACTTTTGCTGTATCTGGAGGTAAACCTGTTCAAACTTTCCAGACAAATATTCTGGAATTACACTTGTTCACATCTTTATATATGTATATATTAACAGGGTTTCTTCTCGGATTTTTTAATAAATTATAAATATAAACGAATAAAATGTAACAAAACTAAAAGTTACACATATGAAATGCTGTCTGACAGAAATTGTTTATTCTAGTGATAACTCTTCTACTTACAATTTTTTATGCATTCAGTTCCGTTTTTTTTACAACAACGTTTGACGAGAGACATGTTCATTGCCGATTCATCCTGTTTAGCTATAGCTGTGATTACGCTTTTATCCAGCTACAAACAAGAACAAACAATGGCTCAATAGGTTAAAGATATCACAAATAAGAAGCTATACTTCAAGTTGGGAAAACTTTAGACACGTCAGCTTATTTTGTATATTAAAAAACCCAACCAAAAATCGGGACCATATAAAATCATTGATGTAACCCTAGTGAAAACACATTAACCGTCCGTAAATAAAACACAGGACAAAAACATCAATAGAGAACCTAAGTGACCCATTTTTAAAATAATAAATAAATGACAACCCAAAACGTTTACAATCCTGTTCTGTTACCGAATACTTATTTTTGCAATTTTAAGACAAACTCGAAATATTATAATCGAAAACAAAACAAAACAAACTTTAATTAACTTACTCTTTAAGTAAGACTGTGAAAATAATGACGCAAAATGTTAAGAGAAAAATAAAGACGTAATAACTTTTAATATTTTCATGACAACCCATACCAACAATGTTTTAATGTTTAATTGGAATCTGAAAAATGAAGGTCCTTCTCAAATAAAATACTCATGAATTCTGACTTTTACGATAAAGATTTATTATAATAATGACATCGTATCAAATATGTAGAACAATACTAAAGTAGCGAAATAATTTGAGAAATTTTTGCGAAATAATTGTTTCTCTCCCAATTAATGGGCCTTTTATAATATATAAAATCAAAAGTCATTACCTGTATAATTTTTTTTGTCAAAGGTTTTGTTAATTTCTTCAAAAAGTCTTTTTCGGCATGTTCATTCTGCTCCCAATTGCCGGTACTCAAGATTGCTTCAGTCAGACGAAATAGGTACCCTACACAAACACAAGCAGCATATTAAGCTTTTACAATGGATGGTTTTACAAATAGTACCGAGTAACTCTTCACAGGATGTTACGATTACAAACTAACTAACTATTTAAACTACCTTCCACGAATAGCTAGAATAACTAAAAACAATTTGTTTCATGAAAACTCTAGTCATTGCTCAATTTGGTTAAAAATAATATTTATTTAACTCTGTTCCACAAAAGTGCTAACTTTTTATACAGATTTTAACGTGCAAATATAATTACTGATGTGCTCGTTATATTCAAAAGCGTTCTGAACATTAGTACGAACAGTATTCATTGTTAAAGAGCCAAGTCCAGCCTAATGGTTAAAGTGCCAGACTGTGAATCCGAGGTTCCTTGTTTCGTGTCCCGTTATCGTAAGAACAACCTCGATCCACACTGTGTGAGTGCAATAAGAGAGACAGTCAAATCCAGTTATTCGAATAGCATAGCCCACGAGTTGACGCTGCGGGGGTGGGTTGACTAGTTGCCTTCCCTCTAGTCTAGGAACGGTTAGTGCCGATAGCCTTCGAATAGTTTTGCGCGAAAATCAACAACATATTGTTAATCTCATCAAAATCTCCTTCAGGCTTAACAACTAGTAGGAGCACAGTTTTTTTTAACAACTAGTAGGAGCACAGTTTTTTTTAACAACTAGTAGGAGCACAGTTT